AGATATAGACAATGAAGTGGGATTTGATGTGGGTAATGAGGAGGACCTTTATCAAGGGGCATCAGCCCCACCGGAGGAAGCCTCCCGACTTCCTCCAGGCAGAGCGCCCTCGTCACAGCGCGGCCCAAGTCCGGAATCCCAGGAGAGTGACAGCGGGTCTGAGGGGTCCGACGGAGAACCTGTGCGCACAGCCCGAAGTGAGCCAAGGCCGAAAAGGCCCTCCGACAGAATATTGCAGAAGGCTATGCGCGAGTTACAGGAGCTCGGCTTGGAGGCTGAGGAAGTAGGGGATGTCACCGTCACCTCCAGCGAAGGGATCGTAGTTCGGCCAACAGGGAAATGGAGCCGGTGGTCAGGAGTTATCAGAGATGCTATATTGGAGGGCCAGTGGGAAGCAGCATCTGCAATTGTCTGCCCAGTAGTGGTACATCCTCAACCGGATGGTACTAGCGAGGCCCGCTGGAAACCCTTTGATTGGAAAATGATGCATCAGCTCCACAATACGGTGTCTCAGTATGGGATAAATTCTGAGCCGGCAAGGCAGATGTTGCAATTTGTGTTTAGTTCAGATCTCTTAACCCCTGCCAATTGTATGCAAGTCGCAAAATTGTTATTAACACCTGCTCAGTATATCCTGTGGGAACAGGAGTGGGAAAGACCAGCGAGGGTATGTGAAATCCCTAGAGCCCAGGAGGACCCCATGGATGGAGCACGTATGGAAATGATCTGTGGCAAGGGCCCGTTTTCTAACCAGATAGTCCAGCTCACCTACAATGTGCAGCTGCTCAATGCAGCTGCAGAAACGGCCAAGGCTGCTCTGCCGTCGCTGCCTTCGGAGAAAAGGGCCCCCTCCTTCACATCGGTCCATCAGGGCCCCAATGAACCCTTCACGTCATTTGTTGATCGGTTAGTTCAGGCCCTAGAGCAAGCTGCAGATATGACCGATGACTTCCAAAAGCAACTGCTGCAGATGTTGGCCTTTGAAAACGCCAATGCTAGGTGTAAAGGTATAATTCTTACTCTTCCTCGGGATGCCAGCATTGAGACCATGCTAGAGCAGATCGCGCACCAGGAAAGAAGCAGTCAATCTGCACTCGTGGCTGAGGCTGTCCAGGAGGCTACTCGAGCCCAAGTGGTCGCTCTCGAGCGTTCTATTCAGTCTCAAATGCAAGTGCTAGCGGCGGCCCTGAGCCCTCTGTCAGGGCAACAAGGGAAGGGCGCAGGGTCTAAGAATATGGCGTGTTTCTGATGTGGGAAGCCAGGGCATATGAAATGACAGTGCAAGCAGGGACCGGTGTGGTGCGACACGTGTCAAAATGGGTCGCACTCTAGCGAAGTGTACTGGAGGTCGGGAAACGACCAGCGGAGCGCGATGGGGAGCCACGCGGGGAAAATAGTAGATCCTGCCCCAGCCGCGAACCTGGGCTTGGGCTGAGCCCCGCCACCCCAGGCAGCCTGGGCATCGACCTGGCAACCGCAGTAAATGTGACATTGATAGATCAGAATCCTGTACGAATTCCCACAACGACGCGCGGGCCTTTGCACACCTCCAGGCAGAGGATGGGAGCCTTGTTGCTTGGCCGACCTTCCTCGGGACTGAGAGGCATTATAATCTTCCCTGGTGTTATTGACGCAGACTACACAGGAACCGTAGAGATCGTCGCCTCCACCCTGTTTCCACCCCTAATCATTCCAAAAGGAAGTAGGATCACACAGTTAGTGCCACTAGAAAATTTGGCGGCCCGGATATGCCCACCAACACCCTCGACGCCGGTCAGGGGCGAGGCTGGGTTTGGCTCTATGGGACCAGTGGCCTGTCTGACCTTGCGCATGCAGAAAAGGCCAACCTTGCCGGTGACCTTAATACATCAAGGCGAGCGGGTGACAACCGAGGCCCTCCTCAACACAGGCGCAGATGTCACCCTGGTATCTCAGTGCGTTTGACCCCGGCACTGGCCCCTGCAGCAAGGCGCTGGAGTTGTTGGAGGAATAGGAGGCATCAAGATTGCAGGAGTAAGCACCCATCCCATTACTCTGCTGATT